AGATAAAGATTTTGCTCCGCGTTCCTGAGTGGATAAGTGTGAGATGGCCTTTCTTGAGAAGCTGATACATGTTTACGTATTAGGCAAACAGGCAAACGGATTCAAAGATAAATAAGGAAGGAAGAGTCAATATTTTTAATTCTTTAAAAAAGTCCCGGCAATGAGTTCTGCTGTTTAGTCCCAGTGAATATCGAACAGCTCTCTTCTGGAGCTTGAAAATGCGGTCAAATTGAGTCGCACAACACGTACCCCAGAATGGAAGGGCATACCTGAGGTGCGACTCAAAAAGTGCATAATAAACAGTTCTAGCCACTGACAAGTTAAGCTCCTTAGAAACAGACCTTAATGCAAAACAGGCAGAGCTCAATTTTTTCGACAAAGCTTCGATATGTATGTCCCATTTCAGAGAATTGTCCACAACAAGCCCTAAGAATTTTACAGATTTTACGACGTCAATGGTGATGTTGTTAAGTACAAAAGGCTGCAAAGTGTTTTTATACGACAAAGCTTTAGTTTTAGAAATGTTGAGACTCAGGAGGTTCGAATCGCACCAAGATTTAATGGTGATTAAGTCATTTGATATAATCCTTTGAAGTGCCGTGATGTCCTTCTTGCTCCAAGTGAAGCTAGTGTCGTCCGCAAAAAGGCATATTTTGCCACTGATGTTTATGTTAGCAATGTCGTTAATAAATAGAAGAAACAAAATAGTGCCTAGTACTGAGCCTTGTGGTACTTCACATTTTATTGGCTTGCTAGAAGACAACGTGGTATCCACCCTCACAAGTTGACTTCTGTTGCTCAGATACGACTTAAACCATTCGAGAGATGATCCCCTGAACCAATAGTGCTGCAGTTTATTAATCTAGGATCTTTATATTTACTATTTATACCTATATAGGATAAATTTAGGATCTTATGATTTACACAATCGAACGCCTTAGAAAAATCACAGAAAATTGTTGCTGTAGAATGATGGTTGTTTAGGCTGGGAGGTGTGTACCTGTAAATCTGTAATCACTCACTTATCCCCAAACCTTTAGAAAAAGTCGAATAGAAGCGTTATAAAAAGGTGAATTTAAACATATACAAAATTTGAAAGCGTCACTGTCACTATCACGCCCTACTGTCATGCTCTAATCATGATTGTTTTTCGGTTGCTTCGGAATCGAACCGAACGGTTACCGAAAAGCGATACAGAATCGCAGTGCGCGCTACTGAACGTGAGATTCGGCAGCTCTATCGTTCGGTAGCGAACCGAATCGAATTTTCGGATCTGAAACCGAAAAAGATACAGAATAGGGCCCCTGAGTCGACACTGTCAATCGACCATATCTATCGACATTTTTGATCAACAAGTCGACAAAACTGCATCTGTCCACACCAGACTAACAGAAATGTTAGTCGAAATCAACATGTCTGCGTTCCCTACTGCGCATTGAAAGAAGATCCTATATTTTTATTGGTCCTTTAAATTCTAGTATTGAATATAAACCGACCGAGTCTCCATAGCTCAACGCGTAGAGGTTCTGCCTATCAAGTGAGGAGTCAATCCAGATCAGTGCAAAAACTTTTTTATTTTATTTTCGTTTATATTCTGATAGTAAAGTATTAAATAGTTGTTTTTTTCACCAGAATTATTTAATACTTTGCCCCGACCCGGATTCGAACTCTGAATCCTCGGTTCGTAGTCGGAAACTCTACGCACTGCGCTATGGAGACATGTTCGATTTATATTCAATACTAGAATTTATAGGACTAAATTAAAAATAATATAGGATCTTCTTCCGATGCGCAGTAGTGAACGCAGCGGGTATCGGCAGCTAGACGGGCCGCATGCTGTTCCAGAGAGCATAGTAAAAGATATATCAAAGAGCCAGACGTCTTAAAATACTTTCTCCAAAACGTTGCCAGCTCTTAGATTATTGATTTTCATGCATCCATTATCCGACGATACGATATTAATTTTATTGGTTGAATTTAAGGACTTCGATTGGTTAGAAAATTACGGTTTTTAAATTCATTGCATTTTTATGTCTCCGTTCATCGATATACGATTTGCTTGTAATTGGTGTCATATTTTCATTTCCATAACGATTTCGCTGTTTTACTTATAGTCTAAGAGCTAGCAACGTTTTCGAGAGAGAATTTTAAGAAAGCTGGTTCTTTAATATATCTTTAGCGATGCTCTCCTGAACAGAGTGGGGACCGTCTGAGTGCCGGTAGACATTGCGTTCACTACTGCGCATCACAAATTGGCCCTGTATTTCAGGAACTAAGAAGGCTAGGCCAAACATATGTGTGGCATATATTTAGTTTCATAAAAATATAGCAAAGTTGGTAACGTGAAATCCGCATCATTGTGTTTCTACTCATAAACGAGAAATCCCATAAAGCACACTAAAATGGGATACCCTATACAGATGTAATGCACAGTAGTGAACAGCAATAGTCTATCGGAAGTCAGATGGACCGCACTTTGGTCAGGAGAGCACAGATCGAGAAGCATATCAAAAGATATATTAAAGAACCTACCAGTTTTCTTAGAATTCTCGTTTTTCCGACGTTGTTGTACTATTATATTTTGATTAAGGTTAGATTAAATTTGTCAAAAGAGTATCAAAATGTCCGATATCGTACGATCTTTCTCCGTTGAAGGGCTTGAGTAAAAAATTTACAGATGAAAAGTGGCGCGAAAACGCTATGACCAATCAGAGCGCCGCGCCGTCGGACCATCGTATCAGCTTTTAATTTTTAACTCTATGGTATCAGCCTTTTTATAAGGTATCAACCTGGTATCAACAAAGGTATCACCTGGTATCAACGAATAACGGATGCATGAAAATCCAGTCCGTTAATTCGCCAATCCATCATTAGGTTGTATTCCGTTGCAAAACCAGGCGAACCAGACCGGTAAACTACGGTAAAGAGCGGTTCCTGAAAAACATCGGTTTGATACGGAACGGTTTGGTAAAATACAGGAAATTTCAAATGTTGGCGTTTTCTAAATTTCAATACCTCTATTATAAAATTTATCTTTTATGCATTTTTAATGTACCTATTATCTGCTTTTACGTTTGCTTCTTCTTTTCAGTGGAGTTTAATATTGAAAAGTACTTTATTAATAAACTGTTAAACTCGTTAGACAGCTCAAGTGAAGATTTGCAGGTCCAATATTAAAATAGATCAATTATTAAATAAAGAAATCTAATCAATATTTATATTTTTATAGCTTACAAAACATTCACGATTGTCTTGTTTTTCATGTTTTCTTTAAATGTTCCTGACTTTAAGAAACAATGGCTGCATGATGAGTTTAAATTGTCCTAAAAAGTCATTCTATTTAGTTAATGAAATTTATTTACCATTACTGCCTGCCTTTATCTCCTGCCTATTTTGGATGTAAATACTATAACAAATTTTAGAAATTAAATTAATTTTATTCGAACTTCGAATATTTGCTTGATTTCTGTCACATAAATGACATTGATTGGCAACACAAAACAGGGGGATGTTTTGTGATTGACAAACAAAACCAGAAAAACCAGCCTTCTCGCGCTGGTTAGTTTGGTGACAGTCGTTATAACCGAATTTTTCAGGAACCGTGTTCAGTAATAAGAAAACTTTCAGGAAACTGATAGAAATGGAACAAGGTAAGCAACGGAATACATCCAAGATAACTGTTAAGCGTACAATGTCAATGCTCTGTTGGTAGTCTAAGGTTAGTAGACCCAGAGCTTTGACAGTCTTTCAGTCTTTGCTTTGGTCTTTGCTTATCAAGTCTGCTGTAAAATTCGGAAAATATTCTATGAACTTTTTTGCCTACCTCTCTGTCCTGATTAATTTCTCCACCATTCTAGGTTTTTGTTGACCAGCCATAGCTTTGTGGCTGCTTTTGCAGCGCGCAGAAGGGTTCTGGGTTTGGTTCTGGACTAAAGAATATCATTGATGAGCCTTATTGGTTGGCCATTTCATCTTCCTTTTCGAAAATAAATAATATATATATATGTCCTCTAATTATAATAAAGACATTCAACCTTATTCACTTACACAATCGTATAACCCCCCTAAAAGAATAAGGAATTTTTAGATGATTTTTGGTCTTTGAATAAGAAGACTAAGGAAGGAGCATAATGCTATCCATGTATTCATGCATGGTGGGCGGAAAAAGCACCATAAAAGCTCCCTAGGGTGGGGATCCTTGACAGTTCTGTTTGACGATTCATTTGACACATTTGAATTTGATTTTGTGGATTTTTCAGTCTTTACGGAGCTTATTTTATGTTATTTATTATTTATTCTACTACTGATAGTTGTATAAAGGTAGTAAATCTAGATGGAAATTGTGGCAGCACTTAAATTAACAGTGACACTATCGCGATTTATCGAAAAAGACTCTTAAAATAGTTGGTTGTCTAGCGTGCGGTAGATCTCGGCAAAAATTGAGTGAAATAATGGAACAACTTTTCGCTAGTAAGTGACTATATAATATACATACGTGTAGTAAACCGATCATTTATGAAATTCACTTAAATTAACTAAATTATATATTTTTCTTGCATTTTAGCTTTTATTTATTAGTTGTCAAAGATTAGATGTCAAAGAATTTAGATACGTTAATTTGACTTACCTGCTTCAGTAGCGTATCGGATGTTTGTGTTAATAAATACTTATTATAACTTATCTATTTTTATTAGAATTATATATTTTTATAACAATTTTAATAACTACCAACATTTATTCACAACGTAAAATAAAACAACAAATTATTGAGTCTACCCCACGTCTATCCTACATCATAGTTTTACATTTTTTAAATAAAATTAGAACGACACTGATAAACCGGAATTTAAGTCGGCCATATTTGAGGCCCATCGCGGTGTACCTAAGATTTTTGATATGCTCCTTCCTTAGTCTTCTTATTCAAAATTTTTGGTAGTAACAAAAATACTTTCAATTCAGATTGAAAGACTTCATTTGCCCAACCCTCAGAATTTTATAGACTGTCGGTTTTTAACTTTCATTGTCAATTTTGACATTTGGTTAAACACAAAAGCATTATTTTTCATAAATTAAAATGCAAAAATCATTAAAATGGTCACCAGCACAACCCTTTAAAAAAAGTGATAATATAATATCTTCAAAAGCTCGTGAAAAAGGGGATTATGGATTCGCGCCTTCTTATTTATTGGTAAGTTTATAAATTTTGTTTTCTACAATCATGACTTGAGCACAAAAACGAAACTTGCGATGTACCGAGCGATAATAATTCCCACCATGTTATATGGAAGCGAAACCTGGGTGCCGTACCGCCGACACATGAACGCATTAAACAAGTTATATATTACAAGTTATATATATATATATATATATATATATATATATATATATATATATATATATATATATATATACAAATATATACGCTCAAACGCTCAATAATATTGTCAATAATCCAAAATATTGACAAGATTATTGATCGTGTGAGGGCCGCTTAAAATCTATCTCGGGAGCGTTAAGACTCGGAGAGAAAATTCAAGAATTTTTGAGGCGAAATATCTCGAAAACTACGAATTCTACGTAAAAAATTATTAGAACCGTTTTTGTAGGTTATTACCTAAACTTTATTCAAAGAAAAATTTTGTAAATTGCATATTTTGGCAGATATTTGCGAAAAACTGCAATTTTCACGCAACTTCACGCAATAAATAAGTGAAAAATATCTATACCTACATATGTGGCGGATTAATCCCTCCAAAAAATCCTATATAGGTATTTCGCCACTGCAAGAAAATCTACAAAATAAAATAGTGAAATTTGACTAGACTATTACCTATAGGTTAAATTGTACAAACTGGCCTGCACAGTCAACCTGTGCTAAGGACTGAGCGTCTGTGGGGGCTCTTATAGGAAGACAACTCTCCACCATGACCTTTACTGATAAATCATTTAAGAAGCATATTGCTAAAATTCCAGGAACCAAGAGAAAATATGATATTTCTAATGTCCAACGAGTATATGCGAATGTGGTTTAATGAACGTGGAAAATACGAAAAAGACACCTACAGTAAGGAAGAAATCATTAAAGAAGAGAGCAAAATAAAGCGCAGATTCGTTCAGAGGATGATGACATACAGACAACCAAGCAAAAATTTCTTTTTAGAAAACAAACTGAACAAGTGAGTAACCGAAATAAATGATATCTAACACCCAATATAACTATAGCCTGTCAATAGGAGAATACATAACAGTGACAGTTATGTGTTATCTTAATGTACACGTAAATTGTATTCCCTCATTTTTTGGATGTCGTCTGTCGAAATATTTCCTGGCTCATTGGACAGACTTTATTTAGTAATTTAATTCTAATAATGTTCAGGGTGTCCCGATATTTCGTGATGATATAGCGGGTGCATTTCAAAAGTGGCTCACCCCTATGAGTTTTTTATTTTTTTCAGATAAAAAAACGGGGTTTGGTATGTTAGTATATGACATAAATTAGGATTGATTGGCGTATTCAATTGTTTTTGGTCACTTCCTGTTTCACCGGAAATGACTACAACTTTTGATTTTTAAATGGAACCCTCGGATTTTTTTACTTTATTTGATAGAAAATATCAATCTGTATAGAATGACATATCATATGTCAACTTTTGACATTTTCGCATATGGTTTATCATAGATAAATGCAACAAGTTTAGATTGGAAAGCCCGTAAAAATTTTAGGTCGCGAAATTATTTTGGGTCGCGACCGTTATACGTGATCTGGCGCTGCTATAGCGGTCGCTAAGAACAACGGCAAACAAAAACAGAAATAAGTTTCTTTTGTCAAAGTCAGAATCTTCAAAAATCATAAAAATCTTCAAAATCTAAACCGCTCTCATTAAAGAAATTCCGAAAAGTGTTTATAGCGTCCATTCTCAAAGTAATTATTGCTATCTTGTGAGTTTAATTCAAGTTTTATTTACTCCAACCGGTGATAATTGTGAAAAAGTGGCATTATAAACTTAAAAAGCTGTGCTGAGAACTGTGAACTGCAAAACCATCGTGGATTGTGGCATAACGTCGGTTTCCAATGTTTCATAGGTATTTCATACATGCGTCCTTATATAAAATAAAGTTTCTTGTATGCAACACACTGTATTTTATTTATAATATATAACGAAAATAATAATAAATTTGAATAAACAATATTTGGCGATATAATTCCGGAAAAAGCCGAACCGCTCCGAAATTTTCAAAAGCTTTGGGTCGCGACCGTTGCATGAATAGCGCCGAATAGTGTTTACATTGTCCTTATGGGCACTTTCCAATCTAAACTTGTTTCATTTATCTATGTGGTTTATTTGAAATTGTAACATGAGGTTCATAACGACAATTTGACTCGAAATACCTAATAATAAAGTGTGTCGTAGCAAATTATTCGTAAAAAACTTTTTTAAATTGCTTTTTTGCAAATATGCTGATGAGACACCCTTGTTCCATTTAAAAAAAAATGAGATATTATTAAAAATACGATTTGGGCATCTTTTAACCAGCCAGGATAAGACACGAAAAACATTAGACGTTCAAATCTATTTTTCCAAGGCTCCTTGATTAAATATGACATACATAATCACAGCCATGGTACTCTAGATTGAAATTTAAAATACGATTTTTAAACGAAAAAGTCAAAAGTTGACATATGATATGTCATTCTATCCAGAGTGTTATTTTCTATCGAATAAAGTAAAAATATACCGAGCGTGCCATTTAAAAATCACAAGTTGTAGTCATTTCCGATAAAACAGAAAGCAACCAAAAACCATTGAGCGTCCGGATTGCACAACGACCTTGGCGCGTGGCCGCGGGCAGCCCAGTAGGCAAGCGAGACAGCGAGGCGCCGATTAACAAAATAAATAATTTTAAACCTGCCATCATTTCGTTAATAATTATTGTAGCGTGTTGATTTTTGCATAGAAATACTCATGAGTCTTTAGCGCTTCCGACAAGCCTAAAAAACTGGATTATTTTGTATATTTTCGATTTGTTTACATTGCTCGAGCATATTATAACTTGGAGATAAAAATCTCTGTTATAAATTTTAAAACTGACAGATATGAATACTATCATTTAATTAGTTATATATTTAGTTACAACATATTCAAAATTTAGGTCTATCGGTTTATGCTAGCAGTAATAACGAGTATAAATATAAAAATGGTCAGTACAACGCTCGCAGTTTTTAGCGCAGGTTCAGCTTTGGTTTTAGTTTTAGCGCTATTTTTACAGAAAATAAATTCTGAACTTTGATCAAATGTCAAGAACATTATCATTGCTGATATCTCCTGGTTATAATATAGTTCTTTTTTCAAAATATTGCATTGCTTTAGCTTAAAAAACTTGAATTATGCGGCTTTTTTGCGATTATCTAGTTTTGATGTTGAAGGCACCAATTTAGCCTGTCAATTTTATTTTGTCGAAATAACTATAGGACCCGTAACTCTATCCTACTGTACAACCCTCGAGCATGAAACCTTTTTCTTATGGTTTCAACGGAAACAGTCACACATATAGTTGCCATAAGTTGTCTTTGTAGCTCTGGTTGAGAAACATTAGATTTCAAGCATAAAGTGCGTCTAACGAGACAGGAAATATTTCGACAGATGCCATCCATAAAATGACAACACTATAATACGTCTATACAAAAGTGTTTAGTTTCTCCGTTAGACGGCATTAAATTTTAGAAAAATAAACACATTTTTTAAGCTATTTTAAGAACCGATATTCCCATTTGAATGAGATTTTCGGTGCATATGCTTTACTAGGCTTGTCATCATTTGACTTTCATAAAAAAAGGGTGTATAAACTACCCTTATCTATTGATTTCTTCTTCGTAAAATAGCCCTTCCAGTGTTTACAAAACTTTGTGGCCGTATTTTTTGACCACTTTTAAAAAATGCAATCACATATAGTTTTTGAAAAAAATATATTTTCCGAAACTGACATACAAAAAATATTTACTGTTAAGTACATCAAGCGCTAAAATCAAGTAGGCGATAATATTCTGGTTGCCAAGATGAGGAATGTTATGTCATGATGGTCACAAGTAATTTTTTAATATATGTTTCATTAATTAAATTACTTAACGTTTGGGTTTATTAAAATGTACTGCCCTCTAACGGACAAAACCAAACATTTTTTGTTTAGGCTTAACTTGTGCCCAATTAACTTTCTTTGATCCCTATGAAATATTGGCACATCCTGTATAATTTACAAACTGTTTTTTAGAAAAACCGTAGACAAAACTGAGAAAACTCCGATTGATTATTCAAAAATGAAATACAAACCCTATTGTAAATATTTGCATGAAAGCGATAAAGGAACCAAAGATTTAAAGAAATCTGGATCAAAGGATCTTAAAGCACCACAAAAAAGTAGTGTCAAATCAACTGATGACGATAAAAAAAGAGAAGATAAGAAGAAAGAAGATAAAAAAGGAGAATATAAAAAAAGAGAAGATATAAATAAAGCTACCCCTTTATGTCCAGTTTATGTACCAGTTTGTTGTTGTACTCCGACTTTACCATGTGGATGTAAAAGTTACGTGTATGCGAATCAGTAGTAATATATCATCAGTGACTTTTTTTAAATTAATAAAAAATATGTTAGTCAAAATTGAATGTCATATTTAAACTGCCAATTAAATTTCAACCATGTGCCTACTGAATGGCCCAATACAATATAAATCTTTCTTTGAGAAAATATCTTGAACGTTTAATAACATAATAATCATATTATCCAAATTTGATGGTGTCGCTTATTTGGTAGCAAATAAAATACTAGATATCTTTTTGTTGTATGTTGAAATTGCATATTCATCACCCAAACCAACTCTCGTATTTTAGTAAAAACTGGCAAACATATTCGCTATCATGTATCTTCAAGACGATAAAATTTCTAAAGCAACCCATACATTATCAAACAAATTGCGCAACACAGGCTGTTGCGCAACAAGTTGCAGATGTATGGCTCTGTTTGATGCGTTGCGCAATTGTTGTACCGGTATGGTTGCGGCGTGGTCGCGATCTGGTGTTTTAACGCACACTGAGGTTGCAAAAAATAGAACAAGATCACCTTCAGAGTACGAAGACCTACTTGCCATAGTGAACACTTAAATAATATGTAAAGAAGACGATATTGGGTGCATCCCTCTTCAGAAATTTCGTTCCAGGCTGCATCTCTAGCATTTATGTTGCTGTAGTCTGGTCGATTACGGTCGTATAAACATGGTTTTAACTCAATTAATTGGACAAAATTGATAATAAATTGTAGATCGTCCCGCATTATTGAAAAACACAAATCTTTATGATGAAATGCCTTGTACTGGACGGGCACGACACCGTCATGCGCCATGGCGCTTTCAATGCGCCACTAGTGGTCACAAAAGGTCTGTTCCCAGAAGAATCCCTGACTAGTCAGCGCGATTCTTATTGGTTGAAATGCGTAGAAACTTGACTAACAATCAGGTTTCTATGCATTTTAACCAATAAGAAACGTGCTGACTAGTCAGGGATTCTTCTGGGAACAGACCTATTGTATGCCTGATCTGCGCCTCTGTCGCGTCATCTCGGTGGGCGTTTCCTAATTTATTTACATTGGAATTGCCATAGCAAATACGTTTAAATAAAATATCCTCCCCATAAGAGCAATGAGAGGATTTACGTCCCAGTAATGAAGGACAGAAAATCGAGTCGAATGGTTTCAAGACATAGGTTCATCCTAGTTTAGTCAAACCTCCTACAACACAAGGATAGACTTATGTAGGAAATGCATTGAAATTCTATAGCCATCCTTCAACAGCGGGACAGGAATTCAAGCGGTACCCTCCGTATATTTTATTTTAAACGTATTTGTGCCATCGCCACGCGCCAGAACCACGCCACCACCATACCTACGCCATTTCTATGGGCGCTGGCCTTTTTTTTGGCGGGACGTCGCTTGTTTCTCGAACAATGTTGTTGTTGTTATTCAGGCGTTCTGAGCAATATTTTTTTTTGTTATTGACGATTTTAGGTTCAAGATTTTAAACACTTCGCCTTTCGGTATTAGAAGTGTTTGACTCACTGTTCCAGCATATTGTTATAGAACATACAACTTTCTGAGTATGAAAGGGTAGAATGTAGAATAAGTGGGAGGTGGAGGGTGGGGTTAATCATAGCTACCTTAAAGATCTATTATGTCCCCCTTTCTTATATCATACAGTTTATAACTTATCATAGATGGAGATTTTCCTGTTGTAGGGGGACGGTATTTCCCATCCTCCTCTGACAACAGATGTTCTTCCCCCGAGGGTATACACCCTTCCACTGTTGGAGTTTGGCCCTCCGTGCCCTTCATAGTTGAAGATTGTTGTCTCCGGCTAAGGTACCCGTGAGGTGGACGATCTGTCTCCATTTTCTCCACCTCTTCTTGGTCTCTCCTTAGACGTGATACCGGTGTTGTTCAAATCTATAATAAGAGGATATATCTCTCTTTCTCTATTACCTCCTTGGATTTGAGGTCAATTCCTATTGTGAGGAGCTGACTATGGCCCTCCTCCCTCGTTTTGATGACATACGACCAACGCCAACTCGATGTCCTTACTGGTAACTTTATTCTTACCAACTAATATTTTTATATTATTTGAGTCCTAACCTATTGCAACTGACCTCGGAAAAATTATACATACTTACCTTTTAATTAGTGATGGGATCACTCGAGCGAAAATTCGCTCGAGTACTCGATTATTGAAACAACCGACATCGCTCGATTATGAACGAGCGATGCAATAAGTGACGAGTACCAAGCGACGAACGCAAGCGATCCTAGAATGAAATAAATTGGAATCCGATTTTAATGTGACCTACTGGATAAAAAGCCAAGCGAATTTTCTACATACATTGCAGGTAGCAAATTTATACGACGCCGTATATACCGGATACGTCTCAAAAGTGGCTCACCCTTATTACTTTTTTATTTTTTTAGATAAAAAATTGAGATTTGGTATGTTGGTATATGACATAAATTAGGATTAATTGACGTATTCAATTGTTTACTGTCACTTCCTGTTTCACCGGAAATGACTACAATTTTTGATTTTTAAATGGCACCCTCGGTATTTTTTTACTTTATTCGATAGAAAATGACATTCTAAATAGAATGACGTATCATATGTCAACTTTTGACATATTCGCTTAAAAACAAATTTTATTTTAAATTTCAATCTAGAGTGCAAATGGCTGTGTTAAAAACACTAATTTTTAATCAAGGAGCCTTGGAAAAATAGATTTGATCGTCTAATGTTTTTAGTGTCTTGCCCTGGCCGATTAAAAGATGTCCAAATCGTATTTTTGATTATATCTCATTTTTTTTCAAATGGAACGAGGGTGGATCATTAGCATATTTCGAAAAAGATTTTTTTTACGAATAATTTAATACCAACACTTGGTACTTCGAGTCAAATTGCCGTTATGAACCGCATGTTACAAATTCAAATAAACCATATGTGAAAATGTCAAAAGTTGACATATGATATGTCATTCTATTCAGAGTGTCATTTTCTACCGAATAATGTAAAAAAATACCGAGGCTGCGATTTAAAAATCAAAAGTTGCAGTCATTTCCGATTAAACCGGAAGTGACCGAAAACAATTGAATACGTCAATCAATCCTAATTTATGTCATATACTAACTTACCAAATCTCGTTGTTTTATCTGAAAAAATAAAAAAGTTATAGGGTGATCCACTTTTGAGGCGCACCCAGTATATTTATCCGTTGCGTATCTGAGAGACAAAATTTTACGACATCGACAATACTTCGAAATAAACTAAATCAGGCGATTAAGCGAATCGCTCGCCGCTTACTACTTGCATTACCGAAAGAATATGTGCTCTGCGCACGCAGCTTACTGCTTGGCGTTAACGAATACTTACAACATGCAACGGACAAAAAACCGTATTTTTAAATACGAGCAATATTTCGCTCGAGTGATCAATCGGTTATTGCAATCGTTTGATACTCGAGTACTCGATTATTGAAATTAGTCGGTTTTTCCCATCACTACTTTTAACGCAGGAATTATTACAAAGGTAATCTTAATTTTACTTATAAACTTCAATCTTAATTAATCACAATACAATACAGTTACAATCTTAATTAATCACAATACAATACAATACATCACGATACACCATAAAATTTTAGTTTTGGAATGGACGCGTTTTGCTAACCATGTTAGCATCATCAGCAGATGGTTAAAACTAAACTAATATCTACAAATTTAGCGTTTATATAGGCGCTCAGTCCGCACTGACCAAGCCTAGCAGAACTAGCCAAGCAAGTCAAAACCAACCGAGGGTAACAATTCATTACTGAGACTAGAGCCGTAGGAACTAGAAGGAATTGTGACATTATCTCTGTTCATATCTTTACAATTATTAATTTTTAACGCTCTCAATCATCTTCTAATCATCTGCTCATGATGGTAACATGGTTAGCGAAACGCGTGTCCAGTGCAAAAGTAAAGTGTTGTGGTGTATTGTGGTTTTATGTTTTATTTTGCTGTTGTGATACCAAAGGTTCCAAACCCCAACTGTAATATTGGAAATACAAACTCAAAAAATGTATCAACAGTTTCATTTATTTCGGCAGATCGAATATTATAATATATCTTTTTTATTAATAATATTAAGCTCTACAAAAACTAAAAATACTAAAAGTTATAAATGTAGAAATAAAAATATCCAAACTAAAACGAAATAACAAAAATTAACATTTTACAAGCCTCTTTACTTTTATAAAATTAGACGCGATAGTTTCTTATAATACAGATATCGGTAGCTATGTTAGCTGATATCTTAACTAGTTCGTCTTAACTAAAGTCTTTATTAAATCTTGTTACTTGTTACCACGCTAACATAACTACATATACTGGGCGCCGAACAAAATAAAATACACTGATTAATTTGCTTTAGAACCAGAATGGGAGATCATCATTTCATATTAACAAATAATATCACATCATCGTTTCGACTTTTAACATCATTTTTTTAAACATTAGCCCTTATAGAGTGATATACTCTACCTACCATTTTTAGTCTCATTTAATTTATGTTTTTTTATTTAATTATTAATGTTAAAAAATTACAATGTTACAAGAGTAGCAGCTAAATGTCCTAGATAAAAAAAAATCTATTGGTAAGAAGACGACACATCATATAGAGAGTAATCTTAAGAATATTTGTTAACGTAGTATCATTTTTTTTTGCTGAAATTAATTTTATACATTAGATAGATAAAACAAGTCCATAAAATATTTAGGCTTTTATAGACTAAAAAAATATTCCATAATTCGTGGAATAAAAAGACTAAAAAAGGGTAAAATACTATTTTTAAGAGGAAGGGCAAAATAGAGATTCCTTAAACACATTTTTGTCAGTTTTATTTGACTGTTCTCTTGATAAATTTAATGTTTTTAAGTTTGTTACGCTTTCCTGCATTAATCATATTTTTGTTTTCGTTTATAACAATTGTTTTATTCAAAGTGTACAAATCTGGAAGAACGTTGTGTTAGGACTTGAATTGTAGTCAGATTTTCTGAGAATATTACAAAGAAACTTTGATAATGGTTACTTGTTTCAAAAATTAAAAACATGAAAAATAATGAAACTATTAACAATTTAAACCGTATGATCGAAAAAAAGGCGTCAAA